ACATTGCCCTCTAGCTGTCGCTGTTCGCATTTTCGGACATAAGTTCCTGTGTAAATCTTGTTTGTCATGGTATGACAGACCGGTATGTTAAGAACGACCTTTTAAAACACCCTGTACATTTGCTCCAGCATCCAGGAAGTTCCAGAAGAAAAAAATTAATTCCAGAAGTTTCACCAGAGTTCAGTAGCATGTTGACACACTCTGCACAGCATAAATAACCTGCTCATTATCTTTCAATTTCTTCTCTGCTATTAAAATTCTTTAAATGAACAGAATAATGATGGTGCTAAATTAGCTTTGAACTATACTCTTAGAGGCCGATTGTGGCAGTTGTGATAGCCGATTTAAATTTTTATCTTCGAGAAACATATTCTTTTCATGAATTACAGCATAATGAACACAGCAGTTCTTGAATACATTTAAGCTTATTCTACAGCTTTATAACAATTAATTTCGATAAAGTATGTGCGAGGAAATTGACAGGAATGAAGAATATGACGTGTCTAAGAAGAAAACTAGATTAGAATAAAGCAATTTCTGATTCTACAAAGGTGGTTGCGATAACCCGTAACTACCATTATATCCATTGCAAGTTGCAATTAAAAAATTCACTACTTTTTTTTATTTTTTTTTTCTATAAACAATCGTCAAACTGCGCCAAGGTGGTTGTGCAGTCAAAGTGCAGAAAAATCTTAGTTTGTAAAAGATTCTGTAGTTTGTCGGAGCAAATTGGATAGTCTGCTAGGTAGCGTATATATAAATATCACATAACAAACATATAATTCAAAATATTAATTTTAATTTGCAATAGTTCCTTATTTCTCCATTTTAATTTGATTATTTCTCTTTTACCTCCTCTGCTTTCAGTTAACCTTTTAAAAATATGTCATTTCGGTGTCCGCCGATAACATCGCGGACGAAAACGTCGCGGAGAAAACAACGCAAGGCGAAAACGTCGTGCTACAAAACATCGTGGGTGAAAACATCGCAGTTCTAAAACATCGCGGTACAAAATATCGTCGTCGAAAATAAAGCAGTTCAAAAACTTCGCTGTTTAAAAACATCGTCGTCGAAAATATCGTGGTAAAAAAATAAAGTTCTACAAATCATCGCATGACGATAACATCGCAGACATACTTTATCAGGTTTTAATAATTGTAAATGGATATTCCCATAATGATTTGTGAGCGCAAGATGTGAAGAAGGATAATTTTTACTTTCGCACTTTTTTATTAACTAATAAATTTTTGCTGAAAAAGTAAGAAGGAAACTTAAGCATAGAAAATTAAATGCAACTTATAGATTATACTTTTCATGAAAAATTACCAGTCAAAACTTTATAAAAAATGATTTATTAATGGCCTTTGTTAGTTAACTATGTCGGTTTAAAATTCTATTAAGTGCTATAAGTTGCATTAATTTGCTATGCTTGTTTCCTTCTTACTTTTTCAGCAAAAATTTATTAGTTAATAAAAAAATGTGAAAGTAAAAATTATCCTTCTTTCCATCTTGCGCTCACAAATCATTATGGGAATATCCATTTACAGTTATTAAAGCATGTTTGCGAAAAGCATGTATGAAAAAAGCATGTCTGCGATGTTATCGTCATGCGATGATTTGTAGATACTTTATTTTTTACCACGATATTTTCGACGACGATGTTTTTAAACTGCGAAGTTTTTGAACCGCTTTATTTTCGACGACGATGTTGTACCGCGATGTTTTAGAACTGCGATGTTTTCACCCACGATGTTTTGTAGCACGACGTTTTTGCCTTGCGTTGTTTTCTCCGAGACGTTTTCGTCTGCGATGTTTTCGGCTGTAACCGTCATTTCAAAATTAGTTCTTGTCATATGATTCTCGCATAAAGCTAATGACGCAGGCACCTACCTATATATAAACACTGTAGCCAATAATACATTTAGAAAATACTTATTAAACATTTAGTATTAAATCGGAACTAAAATCAAATGATTCTGATGAAAAATTACATCTTCGATATATTGCATTTGCCTTCCTATCCCCCCTGCGAACACGCTGCTGCTGCTCTCTTCTTCAAAAAAAAACATAAAAAAAAGTTATAGAACAAACGCTTACTGCGCCACTTTAACTGTGGTTAAAAAATGTTGGTCGACGAGATCAAATATTAAGATTGATTACTATCTTTTGTACGCCAAGCTTTCTTCCTTCGTAAATCATCTTCTCCATCGTGTCATCAGTTTTTAAAACATCCCTTATTAGTCAACAGGATTTTATATGCAACTAATTTTTTTATTATGGAATATTTTAATGTAATTCTCAAAGACCAGTAACCTTAAACAAGGAACAAAGGCCTTTTCAAGTAACTGTTGGAACGCCTCTTTAACTACTGGTAAAGGAACACATCAGTCAACCATTTTAGATATTTTTATAGTTGTATTTTGCAAGAAACTGACGTCTTCCCTGAAGATCATGATTAATATTTGGACATTTCAGAAATAAGCCGCAACAATGGTCCCTTACTGACAGTCCGTAGTCAATGTCTGTGCTCTCTTAACATTTACAGACAATCTAGATGACGTTACTCATACCTGCTTTGTGCACATGCGCTGGAATGCTAATCATTTGCATATCCCAGCATCTTTCACATAAATCTGATACTTACATGCCGCCGTCACGGTGTATCAATTTGAACGACCAGCAGAATATTTTCAAAAATGCATTGCTCAGAATTTATTTAAAAATTATCATGAATTCTAAATTTCATATTATGTACTTTCCATAAATATTTCTCTTCACTATTTACGCCTTTTTTGTCACTAAACCCCCCTTTTTTTTTTTTTCTTTTTTCCTTTGAAAGGGAGAGTGGTAAGAAGATTGAAAAAAAAAAAATTTTAATAATTCTGCAATTCTCCATTTTGATTTGGTTATTTCCCCACTCTATTCTAAAAATAGATATTACTTATAGCCTAGGTGAAGTCAGTAATTAGTAACTTCTTATAAGTGGTCTATTAACTCCGCGATTTGAAAATGACTCGTTGTCATATGATTCTGACATAAAATTAATGACGCACACACATACACAAACGCTTTAGCCAATAATAATTTTAGAAAGTAATTGTTAACCAACAAAAATTGAATCAGAGCTGAAACCAAATCATTGTCATTAAGGATTTGATCCGAGACACACAGCATTGGCTTTCCCGCTTCCATTCTACGAGCTTGCTGCTGCAACTCCTTTCTTCAAAAAAATTTAAAACAGTCGATAACAGACGCTTACTGCGCCATTTAAATTATACTGGCTTAAAAAAGTTAAGAAGAATGAAAAAGGCCATGATTGTTATCTTTTATGCTCTAAGCTCTGTCAGTCCGTAAATCATGTTCTCCGATGTCACATTCCTAAATCACCTCTGGTACACATACACTTATAAATATACAGATGTATGCATGTGTGTAAACAAATAAGATAGACGTCTGGATGCTTTGATATTTTTAAAAAAATACATTAAATCAATATTTATCACACGATGTCTCTAATCAAAAATAACTCCAGCTGAAACATACTTAAAATCAACGTATATGAAATAGATAATTCAGCAAGAGATAACAATGTCAAACTGACACGCAAAACAAAAGTGTTAAGCAATAAAGAAATAAAAACAGTGATAAGATGCGAAGCCGAAGGGAACAGAGATAATACAATGCCTTGTGTTAGAAAAAATGTAGAATAATGGTAAAATTTTGCAACGTGGAAAAATCTACAAATATTTTAAAGCCATATGCTTACACAGTATAAGAAATCGCGATTAGAATGTTTATGACTAAGTGCCTTAAACACGTCGCCTAAGCACAATCTGCATCTATTTACCCTTACAACCCATTTCAATTAAAGTGACAGATCTCGCCAAAAAGAGCGCCAAAACGTTGTTTTGAGAATATAATATTTTCTCAAAAAATTGGTATAATAAATACAAACAAATTCATCTGACATGAGATATTTAGGAAGAAAGAACGCAAATAATTACACAAATGAGATATTTAGCATTCTTTCTCTAATAAAAAGATTAAAATATGAAAAATTTTATGGAAAATTGACATCATATCAAAAAGAATGCAAATGAGAAACAGTCGCCAATCTAGTAACTCGTCTATTTAAATACACATCACTTTCGACAGGAAGTACTTAATCATTATTACATACTTCGTCAGTTTAAATTCTGTACAGGGGAATTCAGATTCCTATATTTTAGATCACATAACTTTAAAAAAGTCCTTTCAATAATTTTAATATTAAAATTTGTCTTATAACTAACTACCCAAATTTTTAATTATATAAGCGACAAAAAACACTAAATGGCTCAAAAATTTATTAATATAATTGCGATAAAAATGATATATATATTTATATAAAAACTAAACAAACTATTAAGCTTTAAAAAAATAAAAATACGAAGTCATTTATTTACATATATACGTGGAGACCAGAATTAAAATCCTGTACAGTATAAAAATATTATGCGTTTCATAAAAATTCTTTCCAAACCGGTTGTAAAATCTCTTCAGAGTAATTAAGACATTACGCTGAAAGGTTAATAATCTTCAGTCCTGCTTCCAGTTATTGAATTCTCTTATTCCACTGAAGTGAGCAATTAGTAACTCGAAATGATTAGTTTCTCTAAACTGCGAAACCCTGTATGTAATTAATGAATGAATTATTACAATTCCGGAAATACATACTCTTCGTAATTTAACGCTGCCTTAGGTATAAAACACTACCACACTACGTTTCAGCAGCTAAGAAAGGAACAGCGGACAAAGAAACCAAAGGACAAGTTGCATGTATATGAGTCATGCACCCAACACCACTAAGCGAAAGGAACGCTTCGTCGAACTCGCCTGTCCCATGTGAATGGCCTTGAAAGGCACACAGTGGCACGAGCTAAGCCTAACTCAGTTTCCGAAACTGACACCTGTTGACCGCGGCTTCCTAGAAAGTGAGCGAGAAACAAAAAATTGCCTACCTTGGTAGAGGGGGTTATTGAGAACAGCCCTAAAGTTGGACACCAGTTCGTAGTTTGTACATCTGCCGCCCTTTTCGATCAGGAATTTCATCACTTCCAGTTCGCTTAGATTCGCTTCCATCGTCTGCAATGAGTAAGTAAAGTCTGTGTTTAGAGAGGGCGCTGCCATCGCAGTTACCTGTCCGTGTTTACAGCTAAAGGGGGTCGAGCATTCGATGCATTTCTTTTCGTTTTAGGTTGCGAGTAGATCTTAGTTTCTTTGCTGCCAATTGCCAGATATACACAAGCCCCGATTAAGGCAGTTTGTGGCTTCAGTCACAGCATCCCTTTGAATCTCTGAAGCTAATCTCCCAGCTTTTGCAACAAAAACAAAAATATTGCGCAGGCATCTCCAAATTCACGGGAGACAGATTAACTGCGCTTCGTTTGTAAAAAAATGTTAAATTTGTTTAAAGCAGGAAGACAAAAAAACTACTATCACAAACCATGAGCAGGAAATAAATGTATCTACGGAAAATATAAAAGGAAAAGATGCATTGAATGACTGCAGTCATAGCGAATGATGTTAGAGTATTTGGAAGGTGTTTTTATGCAGATCAGTATGTAACTGCATTGTACTTAATATATATATATATATATATATATATATATATATATCCATTAAAAGTAAATTGCTCAATAAAAGTATGTCAAGTATACAGTCATTAATCTTCTGTTTCATACTGACTCTTATCGAAACACAGGAGTAATATAAATAAAATATTCTTTTTATTTGTAAGTGGTGGTTTAAACACAAAAGAGCATTATGCCGAATGGGCTATTAGTTACGAAATCGGATCTCGCGTCGCCCACGAAGAAGGGTTGTATAACTTTTCAAATTGTTGGTACCAAATATTAACACCACTATATTATTTTTAAAGAAATTAAATAATGAAGAAGCTTCATGTATGTATGTATGTTTCTCGCACTATGAAGAAACGACGGTACCTAAGGCTATCAAATTCTGAATAACGTAGTCTTCCACCCGAGCCTGTGAATCAGCAAGCCTAAATTTTGAATTTTGAATTACATATTTCATATTTTATAAAACTTTAATGAATTTTTAGTTAACAAACTCAAAGATTTGAAAACGAACTGGGGCAACACTGTGCGGAATAAAACACTTTTATGTCAGCTGCGCGAGATTTTCTATCGGAAATTCTAAAGATATGCTGTTTATAAATATTTTGTGATTTTCTGTTGAGTTGAGTTTGACATGACATAAATGAGCAAGGGAAAAAATTTTTTTCCTTCTTACTAAGAAAACTGACCATTAATATTACGAGCTAAATAAATAAATAAATAAATAAATAAATAAAATAAAAATAAAAAATAAAAATTAAATTAAATTAAATTAAAAAATAATAAAAAAAAATTGGATGTCGATACTTAACATTCCATCGGGAATTCTAAACATATGTTGCTATGCTGCTTTTAAAATTCTCATAATTTTGCTGTTGAATTGCATATGGCGAAAGTGAGAAAAAATTATGATTAATAATAAAGTTAAAAGACCGCAAAAAGGGGGTGGATGGCAGGAGTAAGTGCAATAGTAGACTGATAGACTGCGAGCTAAGCGGGAGCTTCAAAAAGCTAAACAAACCCATTTGGACAACCGTTGAAACCTGAACCCTTTCAGATTTTTCTTTCTTTTGAAACTGGTTTAATTTACGAACCAAATGAAATTATTCTCCAGGTAAACCCTTTGAAAATATAGTTAAATTGGTAGCTGTACTTTTCTAGAAATTATACTGCGAGTTCTGTCATTCTCGGCAAATGCTTGAAGAACAAGTGTCTGTTGAAGAGCAATAATAATAATAATAATAATAATATGGGCTATTCCTCCTCCTTCCTAAGTTTTTTAGTTGCCCTCGAATTAAACGCAATTTTGATTTAGATTCCAGAACAGCTCCAGCACGTACATCTGTTCAGTACGTAACATCTGTAAGAAGTACTTTCGTATACGAGACTTTAAAATAGCTATCTGTGTACTGATAATTGTTGCCGGGACAGTCGATTTCGGTGAGTAGCTGAAACACTGCTGCCCATCATACCTTGTCAAATGCGCTCGCTATAATGGAGTGAAATTATGCAAGTGTAAAAGTTGTTAGTTCAGTTTTTGGCGATCGTGTTACGTAACACGCAATGTGCTTTTTCTACGCAATGCTGATGGATGGAAGCTCCGAAGACTTGCTTATTACATCTTCCGCTTTAGAAAGGACATTTGTTTATACATTTAGGCATTTGGAAGCACCAGTTGTTGAACTTTTCAAGGACAGTCTTTTCTCAGTATGATTTGTATATACTATTAATACCAGAAATGAGTTATCTCAGGAAGTCCTCTCAAGGAGTTGACGGTAAAAAAAAAAGAGGGGCGGGAGATCATCGGACCACCCCCCAAGGAGTTCTACCTCAAAATTGCGGTGGAAAGTTTAACAGTTAGCTAGGTTCAGCAATACCTCAATTACCTGTGGTACTACGGAGGTGCTGGCCTAGCTTCTACCTAAACGTGTCACATGATTTGCCGGTCAGAAATTCATCTTGGGTTTGACCAACGGTTCCTTTATCACTAAGTAATATATCAAGTAACTTGCTCACAGACAGAAGACAGACTGACCTTTAAGCTTTGGTGTCACCCGTTAAGATTTGGCATCACTTTTACCCTTTTTGCTGAGAAAAGCGTGTAGAAACATTAGGTTTTTTTTTTTTTTTTTTTTTTTTTTTTTTTTGGAAACAGGAATCATGAAAAATGAGTAATGCCTTCGCCGAGAATCGAACTACGGGCCTCTGGAATATGTGCCCAGCGCGCAGATCACCACACCACGAAAGCACGCTAAGAAGGTGGGAGAAATACCTTATAAGCGAAGTCTTCTCTTTCAAGATGTCGGCAAATGACGTAGTTTAAACAAACCATCTTGGTTTATTTAATTATGAAAAAGCACAAACGAGTTATCTGCCTGAGAGAATAAATGCCTTCGTGGAGGACTTTCTAAGGGGAATTGGTTCCTATCTACATTACACATGGAAAAAAATTCCCGATAACGCCCCTGCAGACAGCCCATTCATCTGGATTCGAACACCGGAACGAGCAACCAGTCCTCAGCGATTTTACCGCTGGTGACCCGTTGAGAGAATGGACAGACAAGTTTAAGGTCTCATTCTTAACAACGGTTTTGATAAAATGCCGTCAGTTCTTTACTTATCTATAACAGCATTGATCTTAGTATCAGTCCATTAGCAACAGCATAGACATAATATATTGACCGACAGATTTAAATTTATAAATAAGTCGGAGAAATTTCTCTTAAAAGGAAAATTCTTCACTGAAAATTTCCTTAGAAAGTTTTCTAGCATAGTTTGGAGCCTTCTACTCTACAAGTAATTGTCTTGAAATAAAAATAACCTCTCTTGTTTTTCAAATTTGAGAGACATTATCTTTTCATATCAATTTTAGACTCTGGAAGGTAAAGAAAAATCAGCTATTACTATTAATTCTGTCATTATTAATTATTGAATAGACACCTCCAGTCTTTTAATCAAACTCAAAAATTAGTAAAACTAAATAAAATTAACTTTTTTCATTATTTTTATTCTCAAGTAAAGTAGCGTTATTTAAGTGAGTGGTATTTAGCTTGCTGTAAAAAAATAAATTATTTCCTAAGCTTATATGAAATTTTGATCTCATCTCCATTTAGTCCATCTGAATATTGTTGCCGTCTTTGAATAATAATTAAAACAATTTCTGGCCCTTTATGGATAAAATTCCTAATTACTGAAGTTAATAATGATCGCTGTTACTGAAATAGTAAAATAAATATTCTAAATCCTTGTAATAGATCGAGGACTCTATAAATCCTCGCAATCCTAGGCCATGAAACTAGAACTGGCCGTTGGAATTAAATTGTGGTGTGAATAAAAGGGCGTGGGATTTGTTTTTCGATCTTCAGAAGGTTCAGAAGTTTGAGAGCTAACTAATTTATTAATGCGTCAACCCAAAGGTTACAAAAACTAAAACGTTTAACAGAAAAAGAACTTCACTAAATTGCGGGTAACCAAAACATCAAACTAAATTCGAAATACCAAATTAAGGCCTCTAACTAAACCTTGACTTACCCGTATTCGCGAAGTAATAACGTCTAAAAAAGCAAAAGCTTAAGCCAATGGGCCAGCAGAGAAACTAAGAGAAGCGTAGGCTAGTCTATGTTGTTACTAAGCATTCTCTAAAAACTCAAGAACTCTGGGATTATTTATACTTATAATAACTATTTTGTATTGTGATGAAAGTTGACGGAAGTAGAAATTAATTAATAAAATTACTATAAGCAAATTAATAATATATTAACATCAGAACTTTACAAGTAAGTATTAAAGAAGCATCAAAATTATATTAGCGTTATTTTGTATGAAAAATGAAAAGAAAAACCATTACTCATTATACCTTTGAGTATAAATTAGAAAAATTTCATTATTAATTTATCAATAAGCTTTAGTATATAATGGCTAGGATGTGCCTGCATTAATTAGCATAAAATTTCAAAGGCTGATTCATCAATGTTTTCTGTATGTGCATTTCTCCTTTTCTCATTTGACACTTTATCAACAGGGTTAGCCAAAAAGAAACAGGATTTTCAAAGTTCTGTAAAAACAAGTTTGGATAAGAATGTTGAAATACTTATCTGGTTAGAAGAGTATGTGCTGAAGTTTACACGGCTAACGTAGTTATGTTCTTTGTGTAACCCTTTCGTAACGTAACATACATGAGTACGATAGTCAAGTTCTTCCCAAGCACGACTCAACATGCCGATGTGAACAGTGGAAGCAGCTGTTGTGATTTTTTTTTTTTTTTTTTTTTTTTTTTTTCTCAAGATCTTTCAAACTTATTGGTAGGAGAGGAATTAAAACTCGCTCCTTGATTCGTCTCCATAAGAAGTAGTCACATGGTGTTAAATCCGAACTTCTTGTTGTCCAACAGCTAACCATGTTCTGGTCTGTTAATTGCATCATATTCCATGCAGTCATTTATGGAATTTTAAGTTCTGTACTTACTCATGTTATTCACATTTCCGGTTGCTCTCAAATGCG